TGCTCCTTTGTAATCAAACCACCCCCCCCCTTGCTCTGACTCCTGGAAAACACAGATTTTTCTTCTTAAATAAGATTGCCTTTTTTTTATAATTTAATGTAAATGGAATAGCACAGTATATAGTCTTTTGCATTTGAGATCTGTCTAAATTGTTGGGTGTATTAATAATTTGTTCCTTTTTATTGTGCAGGAGTATTACTGTGTATGGCTATACTATAATTTGGTTATCCATTAACCAATTGGTGGACATATGGATTGATTCCAGTTGGGCTGTTATAAATGAAGCTTCTTTGAACATTCTCATACAAATCTTTGCATGGGCATGTATTTTTATTTATCTTGTGTAAATATCTAGGAGTGGAATGGCTGCATTCTATGGTACGTATGTGTTTATAAGAAACCACCAGATTGTCTTCCAAAGTGGCTGTATCGTTTTGCCATTTTGCCATTTTGCCATTCCCACCCACAATGAGTTCTAGTTGCCCTGCATCCTCACCAATACTTAGTATTGCCAGTCTTACTCCTGTCAGCCATTCTGGTGGATGTGTCGTGGTTTCTCATTGTGGTGTTAATTAGCATTTCTCAAATCTATTTCGTGTGGTTATTTGCCATTCATTTATCTGCTTCGGTGAAGTGTCTGTTCAAAATTTTTGCCCATTTGTGAAAGTGGATTTTGTTTTCTTACTATTGAGTTGTAAGCTGTCTTTGTAAATTCTGTATAGATGTCCCTTATTACATGCATGATTTTTCAAATATTTTCTCCTAATCCATTAGTTGTCTTTTCATTTCCTTAAGGTCTTTAAAGAGTGGAATTTTAATTTTGATGAAATTCAACCTTTTTGTGTCTTATCTCACAAAATCTTTGTCTGTCCCAGTGTCACTAAGATGTTCTCCCATGGTTTCCTTTGAATTTTATTTTAGATTTAAGTCTTACATTTAGGTTTGTGCTCGACTTCAAGTTAACTTTTTAATGTGGTGTGAAGTAAGGGTTGAGGTTCATTTATTTATTTGTTTGCTTTTGTAGGAGGATGTTTAGTTGTTCTGGCACTGTTGAAAAGACTTTTTTTCCCCATTCAATTACCTTGGTGCCTTGGTCGAAAATCAGTTGACCATGCCTGTATGGCTTTCTGGACTCTTTTTTCTCCATTCATCTATATTTCTATTCTTATTCCAATACCATACTGTTGCATTTACTCTAGCTTTATACTAAGTCTTGAAATCAGTTCGTGTAATCCTCCAACTTGTTTTTTTTTCTCAAAATGGTTTTGATTATCCTAGGTCCTCTGTATTTCCATATAAGGTTTACAATCAGCGTGTCAAATTCTACGCACACAGAAGTCTGCTGGGATTTTGTTTGGCATTGTGCTGAGTCCAAAGATCACTATGAGAAGTGACATCTTAGCAATGTAGAGTTTTCTGGCCCACGAGAACAGTATAGCTCTCCATTTGTGTGCTCCTTTTCAATTTCTTTCTGCAATGTTTTTTCCTTTCCATGTACAGATACCGCATATGCTGTGTAAAATGTATCTGTGAGTATTTCATATGTTTGATGCTGTTGCAATGATATTTTTATTTCAAGTACCAATTGTTCATTGCTAGAATATAGAAATTCAATTGGTTTTTTTTCAAAATCTTGCATCTTGTGACTTTGCTGCTTAATTTGCTAATTAGTTTTAGTAGCTTTATGATACATTTCTTAGGATTTTTTACATAGAAAATCAGGTCTTTCTGGATGAGAGTTTTACTTATTCCTTTCCAATCTCTAAACCTTTAATTTCTTTTTCTTGCCTTATTATCCTGGCTGGAATCTGCAACACAACATTGAGTAGAAGTGATGACAGACATTCTTGTCTTCCCAATCCTAGGGGGAAAGCACTCAGTCTTTACTATTAAGTGTGACGTTAGCTGAGGTTTTTTGGTAGATCCTCTGTAGGGAGATAAGTATTTTTAACTGGATATATTGCTGCCCAAATCTTTTGGGGTTTTTTCTAGAAAAGAAGAAGGGAGAATGGACATAGGCATCCATCAAAAGGGAGGCCAGCAGGAGTTTCTTTATGAGTTCAGCCCTGTCTTAACTGTGTGATGATTTATTAGGAAGTAAGCATTTATTTCCATTAGAGGTTTTAAGTGTGGAATATGGTTCACATTACACATGACCATGTGTGACAGTGCATCTTTATGAACTGTATTTGGGAGGGACAGGTGCTGCCAGGGAACCAACTCCCCATTAGTCCATTGGGAGGCAGTGTAGCCTGTGGTTAGAAACATGGGCTCAGAAGCCTGGGTGCCTAGTCCCAATCCAGCTCTGCAACCTTGGGCAAATTCCTCACCCCGTGTCAGTTTTCCACCTGCAAAAGGAAGGTATCAAAAGATGTCAGTAATTCCTACCTCCGGGGCTTCTGAAGACTCAGTGAGCAAATGCAATGAGGAGCTTAAAACAGCATCTGTTGTCTGGTGCATTTTAAGAAGGCTTTAGTTTACATAAGGCTAAGTTACATACAAGTTTTCAGTAGCAGGTTTACTGCTTGAAGTAAAGAACAGCCATCCATTAAAAAAAAAAAAAAAAATCCACTCTCCAGAAACCTCCTATTAAGGTTTTGTAAGGAGAGAGGATTAGATACTTGATTTTTGTTGTTTCGCATGTTATTGGTACAACAAATACATTTAAAAATCTTGTGTATTGCATAGGCAACTATCAGCTGGATTATAGTTGTGGGCAGTGACACCCTAGAGTTCACACGGAGTCTACACTTAAAGGCTGAACCAGAGTTTGACCTTCTGATCTGCTTGTTTTGACCACTTGACAGTGGGCTGGAATGGGACTCCACACACTGTCCCTGGGCTGCCCCACCTGGACGTGTGGACCACTGTGCAGCCCCCAATTGGCTTCAGCCTATTATTTCTTGCCAGTAAACTCTAATTCAAGGGGACAGAGGCGTCTCAGTCGGTCTGTCACTTTCCTGGGCATCTGCCTTTCTATCGACATGTTCCAAGTCCTGGGTACCATCCTTCAGTGGGGGGTAAGTCATGCCAGCCTTCCTGTCTGGTGTGGGGTGTGAGGGGACACTTGCCAGCAGGAACGAGGTTACTCTGAACCTGCTCAAGTGGGTCCTGCTGCAGCACTGTGATGTTGACATATAAGGAAAAGCACTTAGGAACAGGCTGGCAGGCCTTCAAGGGGCCTTTCCCCTTAACTTGAACTCGCTTTTTTTATTTTTTGCCTTGTACTTTTTGAGGGTGCAGTCACAGCAAGTTTTGTAAAGGGCCTTCTGCAGTGTTTTCTCATCTGAAGTCCCTTCTTCACACAGGGTCTACATTGTCCAGCCAATTTTCTGTTTCTGGTTTTCTCTAGATCAGGCCATTGAAAGACTTAAGTGTGTATGTTTAGTTTTTTAAAAATATAACATGCCCTCAGCTCTGTTTGGACACATCTGCACACTATTTTACCCTTCCTCTCTCCTTCCCATACAGCCAGGGGGGGATAGGGAAGGGACGGCCAACACATGTTTAGGAGAGCTCATCCACGAGGTCCCAGCACAGACTGCCCAGCGTTTTCCTCTGCAGTGTGATGGGTAGCGTTTGGGGACAGGAGTATTTGGCCAGCTCTTGTCCTCACCTCTGCCAGAGATGTGCTCTAGCCCGTTCCTTGAGAGTTGCATTCTCTATCACACCTTTTCAGCTGTCATTTTGACACCAGTACCAAGATATACTGATTCAGGGAGCGAGACAGACATTATCCTCTCCCTTGACTGTCATAAGACGCCCCAGTTAGGTGGAGACTCCAAGGCTCATGTGACATGATCCTCCAAACTCTGCCTGCTGCTCCAGGTAATCATGCTAAATTATACATGGGAAGAGGCTTTCTGCAGTGCTGTTTTTCCACTGGAGCACAAAGCATTCTGTTATAGGAGGGCTTTGACAAAGCAAGTCCTCCAGGCCCTGCAGGAACCGTGGAGCTGCAGGGGGCAGGTTACCTTCCAACCACAGGGCTAGGCATGTGAGTTTAAAACAAATGGGAAGCAGATGCATAGAGTCTGACTTTCTATTTGAGTGTCGTTTCTTTGAGCAAAGACAAAGGCTAAAAATTTAAATATCAAACTGTTAGGTTTTCGAAACAAAAAAAAGAAAAGGCAAGAAGAAACAAAGAAAAGTCAGAAGTGACAAATTTAACACTCTTCTCTGGTCAGATAAGAATCTGCTCTTAGCTCCACGTAAATGACTAACTGCCAGCTTCGTGATTCGGCATCTTTCTCTTTGTGTATTTTCTTCATTCTTATCTTCTTCTAGTTCTATTTCCTCACTCCTCGCCAACTAAAAAACAGCAACAACAACAACAACAAAACAAAGCAAAGAACAAAGTAAAACAACTCCCTTGGTTGGTGTGATTGAAAGATCACCTTCCATAGGGTATACCAGCTGAAGGGATGGATGATGTGGAGGTGCTGTGCATGCAGGTTCCACGCTCCTGGGGGCCCCTCACACACATCACACCTGGCCACGGCCAAATGCCAGTTCTGGGGACCTAACAGGCACTCAAGAAACAACTTGAGAACGAATGGAAGTACCTGCCTACAACAAAAGGAAGGCGGGAGGGAAGGCAGGTTCGTTTTGCTGCAGATTAGACTTATGCAGTTCGTTCTGTTATTCACAATTCCTCAGGCAGCGAGCGACCCAATTAACACAGTGTCGCTTTATCAATGCTTGCACTCTCCCCTTCACATTGTTTCCTGGACGCCTGTTCCATCTCCAGAGTCGGCAGCTGGTAGTGGCCACATTTGCTCTGTGTGAGGAATTCCTACAAACATAGAAACTGGACTCACAGTACACTGATGGCATTTCTTCATCAACAAATAACTTCTATGGGTCACGGAGGCCAGCCTTGCAAGTTACCCAGGCTTAAGGTGGTACTAAAAATGTGCAAATTTGCCATCTACCTTGTTTCTAAGCTCTGTTCTCCGAGAAGATCATCGGTGGTTATTTCTATTCTGTCCACTTGACAGGTGATGACCAAGAAAGAGGACTTTTTCAGTGCCTGGAACTCGTGTCTTCATCATGTTGCCTCCCTGTCTCTGGCACACATCCATAGAGGTGAGTTGGCTCTTGTTGAATATTTATAACTGGGAGGCTCTGGGGGCTGCAGGGTACCTGGGAATAAGACTGCAGTCAAAGGACAGTCCCCACACCAGCCCTCACGTTGAATGTAAGGCCCCGAAATAACTTAACCTCCAACTTAGCAGGAACACTGACCAAACAACACCCACAAAACCCAACACTAAACTCCGGGAACAGTGCATCCAACACAACCTGACGGTTGCCAACAGCATAGGTTTGATAGAAGCCAGCTGGCAAATGGCGGGCCCCTCAGCTGTGGCCCTCTGCCCAACAGGGACTGCCATTCCCACGTAAACAAAACGGAGGGTGCACGCACAGCTAAAGGGAGGGTGCTTTAATAGGATTGCTGCCTGCAGAATTTCAAGTACCGCAACTCACTACTTCAACCTAATCCTCGAATTAGCGAGAACCCAGTTCAGCCTTTTAAAGCGGTGCCTCTCAACCAGAGGCGACTGTGCCCTCCTGGGAACATTTAGCGACATCTGGAGACATTTTCTGTTGCCACAACCAAGCAGGGGTTGCTAGTGGGTATAGGCCAGGAACGCCGCTAAACACCGCACAGGCCGCGGACAGCACCCCAGCAAAGAGTTACTCTGCCTCGATGTCAGGAGCGCTGGCACTGAGAAACTGTTGAGCATCCATTTTGATCCCAACAAACCCAAATCACAGAAAATAAAATGAAACTTTGAAAACAGAGTAAGATCCATCAAGATACGGCAATTTATTCTTGAAAATTTTGTGTAGCCTCAAGAATCATTCATTCATTCATCATATCCTCTTACCTCAGGGGGGTGGGGGGAGTCTTAAAAAGGCTCTCACTGTGTTTGTTTGTCGTGTGGGGTTTGCCGTCCCACCAAGTACACGGCTGGCCCTGGGAAGGCAGGGTCAGGTTTGGTCACCACCACAGCTCCGGGGCCCGGCTCCCAGTCCTGGTGTGTCCTCAGGCACCATCTCGTGGGGTGGAATTCCTGGATGGGTTCTGTTAAGAGTCAAGCCAGCAACCCGGGAGTGCCTGCATTCCACCCGACCTCACAACCTGGCCACCACCCTCCCTCCCCAACCAGGCAGTACCAGAAGAGCAGAGCACCACATTATTAGTCACTGTGGGGCTGCCCAGTGACTAATAATCGGAGGCTGCCCTCCCTGTGAGCTGACAAGAGCCAGATTGGGGTGAACAGACCGAGCCTGGCCTCTTCTCTCCCTCAAGGCGCAATCCAGTGCTTGGGACCTTGGTGAGCTTCACGACACAGGGCTCAAGAGTATGGAGAGGAATGAGAATGCACAAGTGAATATGCCCAGAGCATGGGTTCCTCATGGGGCCTGAGGACACCACACCCAGGGAGCAGCCTTTTTACACAGTGACCACATTCCGTCATAACCACGGCCTCATTAGCACCCTAGATTTGGATTGATTTCCCCCTTGTCCCCGGGGAGGGAATGGAGGAGCACAGCGTGGGGCTGAGAGGGGCTGAGGGAGGGCAAAAGATTCCCTCCCCACAGGTCATTAAGGCACAGGATTGAGTTCCCTCATCTGTGGATCCAGAAATTTTAATTTGTCTGCACACCCACAGTATATGAGGCTCTGGGGAACTGACTTACCTTAATCAAACTCAAAGGTGACAGCTATATAAACCAAAATGCCAGTTTATTCATCACAAATGAAAACCCAACTGCTGAATCATTCGTACACGCTCCATCCTGTGGGGAACTCTCCACATGGAATTCAGGGATAGTCAGAACGTTGCAAAAGGTTGGACTGTTTGGACAGCTCTTGGAGGAGCATCTGAGCGTCCATGCTGGCCTGCCTGCCACAGAGGCTGGGTCCTGGAGCCCAAAGGCTGTCTGCTTCCCGGACTGTCTTGGTGTGCTCAGCACCAACCTCAGCCCCTGAGAAATTTTTGCAAACCACCTCTACCCCTCTTCTGTTGGTAGGGTATTTTTTTCAGATTTGTTGATCAGGCTAAAACTTACCTGGGATATAAAGCAGCACACGAGGCACCTTTAATGAAGGCAGTTACGTCCCAGGCCTTCTTCTTCACTCTGTGTAGACATGTATGGCTCCACTCTCAGGGCTGTCTGTGGCCCCAGCACCCGGGCTCCTCCCGTTGCTCCTCTGTGTACTGACCCCAGATACTACCCTTCCCAGGACACGAGCAGGAACCACGTGGACTCCAGGTGGAACATTTCTAAACATTAGGATGTGAGAGTAAATTTGGAGGGGGGCATCAAAGAATCCCTGAACTCACACGCCTTTGCCTTGGAAACACTGACCATTACGCCTTGAACCACTCATCCCATCTGTTGAGAGCATAATTAAGTTTAGTGTGAGGGTTGAGAACTCCGGCTCCAGAGTCCGGTTAACTGAATGCAGAGCATTTGTTTACCTCTATCTGCTGTGTGACTGTGAGTGATTAACCTCTCTGAGCTTTCGTCTCATCTTTGTTTATAAAATGGAGATAATGTGATATTTACCTCATGGGGCTATTGAGACTACACTTGAAAGCCCTTACCTTAGCATCTGATCCATAGTTAGGGTTCAATAAAAATTTTTTATTACTGTTAATTACTACTCTACAAAGTCCTTAGTTCCCACTACCCAAGTGGAACATTTAGATCCTTGTTTCTTAAAGTGTAAGAACAAGAGAACGATTAAGCAAGTTAGGTTCCAGTGTAGGAAGTCTTAACATGGGCAGGAAACATCAAAGATTTACTATTGCCACAGCACAGAAGAAATCCAAATGGATTCCCTACCTTTTACCCATTAATAACAACAGCAGCAAAAGTGATTATTTTCAGGAAATTGGCCCCCTTCAGTGTCAGAGGAAGACAATTTGGCTGTAGAAAGTCACAGAAGAAAAAATAAGAATTAGTTCAATGACAGCATCTAGAAATCCCAGGAATGTTTTGAGATCGAGAAAGCTGTCCGTAATGAGGAGGTTTGAACAGATACAAAATGGGTTCTCATGGTAGGAGTGCGCCAAGCACACACTGCGCAGGGACAATCCCGTCAGCGTATCATTACATTTAAATAGCATGCTGTGCTGCTACCAGAGGTCCCCAGGGGATGGGAGAAGAAGTAGAAGGAGCCCATCTGTCTTCGGTGACTGGGCCCAGATGTTGCCTTTGGAGACTTTCAAAGAAAGAGCACAAAGGAGGGAAGGGAAGGATCAGTCCGCGAAAGCGCAGACCTTAATGTCACCCCAGATGAAAATGAACTCAGAATCTAGCCATTTTTATTAGGAAAAAATGGACAAAAAGCCTTTTGGCATCAGTATCCGTTGTTACCTGAAGACTCGGGAAAACCATGTTTGAAATAAAAATGTTAAGCAGTCTCTAGTGGTTTCTGAAGTGGGATGTAACCATTACAATGATAAATTGTTATTTTTCTGTGATCCACATTTTTATCTTGCCCTAGAAAGAGCAGCTCAGAAGCACAGTGCTGTCTGAACCCCTAAGGGTGTGCCAATTTCTAAATAAAAAAGAGAAACTAAGCACTTTTATTAAATAAATTACATCCACAATTCTCCAGCTCCATGTAGAACTGTCTCTTGGTTTTTCCCTCCTCTGAGCTTGTAAGGTGCTCTCATTATGCTGCAGAAGTCCCTTCTCTGGTTCTTAATAAAGTGACTAATAATCTAGAATGTTCGCATTAAGAGCACATTGTAATTACGATTAGAATATGTAAGTAGTGTGGTTTTCTGCCTATCAGAGGATTAATTTCAGACTCCTCTCAGGGACGATTTGTTTCCAAACCAGACTTTCTTTGTTAATAAAAATGTGATCATATGTGTTATTACAGCATTCTTGCCGTATTTTATCCGTGAGTGCTTACTCCAGTATCCTTCATGGGATCAGCGTTTTTCACCCCCATTGTTAATGGGGCTATTCTTTAAACAAACTACATTCACCTCGATTTTGTTTTAGCTTTGGCATTCATCTTCCAGGGAACTTTGGGAATATACTTACCACTTCAATGAACGTGCATTTCGCTATTCAAGCTCAGAAAAATAAAATGCCATAACTTCATCCAGGAGTCTCGCGTGAATTTAGATCCTCGTCACCCCCCTCCCCTTACACTCCACTACAGAAGTGCCCCAAGACTCTAAATCCTCTGCACTTGAAGAGCAAACCTGCCCTCTGGGGTGGAACCGAAGTCGAAAGTCAACACATCTCATTTGAATACAGATTTCTTCAGTGTGTTTTGCTGTTGTTGCTGGAGATGGAGGTCTGGCAGGTGGGGAAGGAGGGTAGGTACCACAGGTATTGTGTTGGCTGGGACAGCCTGTGTGCCTTCTTTTCCCATGGGGACCCTCTGCTGAGTGGGACGAGATTTAGAAGCAGCCCCAGCGTGCCCTGACAGGTGGTCTGGGGTGGAAGGGAGGAGCTTTGGGTACTGCTGCCCCTGATGCTGACCTTCCTCTTTGTCTAGCACCTGTTAACTATGTGGGTGGTAGAAGCAGGGCAGGGGGTCTAGAGAGCCAAGAATGGACAGGCACGATTTGCAGCAGCATCTTGGAGGCCCCAAGGCGGAAGAGAAAGACCATCTCCAGCTTTGCTACCTCTGTCCTGGTCACATGGCTGAACCTCAGACCCATTCGTTCCTGAGAGCAAAATGTGCAGCGGGGAGTTGAGGGTCCTCACTTCAGAGTGCAAGACACCTGGGAGAGCCCATGCGACTGTTCCAGTCCTCTGCAGGAGTTGCTGGGTCCCTAAAGCCTGAAGTCTGGGACAGCAGCGAGGGGCCGTCTGGAATGCCAAGAGGTGGACTCGCCTTCCCTGCGCTTACACAAGATTGTTCCAAGGGACAGAGATGAGAGTGGAGGCTCCTGCTGAGGGAGACACCCGAAGAAATGGAGACTGTTTTAAGTAGGAGCGTAGGGGTACCTTGGGCTAATGCAGATGGTGGCTCTTACCATCTTTTCTAAAAAGAAAAGAAGAAGAAATGTGACTGCACTTGAAGCGTTGTTACATGCCAA